CCAACCACCATTAAACACAAGAAGAAGAAGAAGAAACCAGCGACTATAATTTTAAATAAAAAATAATGAATGCATGTTGTAATACGATACTAGTTGGCATATAAGCTTGATCTTCACTATTCGGTTTTCTGTTTTATTATTTTAACGCGAAGAAAAATGGCTCCATTTAATSTAATGACGGCTACTGTTAGCCTTTTGGCTAAGTCCTTCGGTGTGTTCTCCATTGGAAACCCTGCAAGGTAGATTACGGTCTTCTGTTAGTTAACCGAGGTCTGTGCTGCAAAAACAAACTAAAGCTCATTTGTTCGGAGTCCTTAATCTTTGTAGAAGGAATAAAAATAAACATTGTTCACTGGTAACATGGTGGAGCACTGGTTAGAGTTGTCTCTGCAAGAAAGCTGGACTTCCTGGGGCTTGTGGAGCATGTGCGACCAAAACATTTGTATCATTCATTGGTGGGTTGATTGTCTCTGTGTCCCTGTGATGGTCTGGAGACATGTCCAGGTGTCCCAGTGACTGTTGGACATGGACACCAGCTCCCTAAGACCCAGAAAGGAAGTAGAGTTAATATTTTTAGTAGATAAGTCCCATTATTTGCAGAGATAGTTAACGGAGTAGTTACTAATACTACATCAAACAACTAATTAATGGGCAGTACACAAACATTTTATTTTATAGACAGAAATGTTAAAATCATGTTAAGACATCTGATTGCCGTCGTCTGGTTTTTATTGTTTGATTATGTCCCAGTTAGGAAGAATGAATGTGTGATTTGGGAGCTCAATTTGTAAAATGTCAATAAGCAGGTTTCCTCCTGTTTTCAGATATGCCTTCTGCTCTGCAAATATAAACCCAGTCAAATATGTGACCACTGAGGCCAGCGGTCCTCCAAAGAGACCTATGAATGGATACACAAGATATATCCATCAACAGCATCCGCTCATAGCGAGCCAATATCCAGGTAAACAAACATTTTGTATTTAGATGACAGGCTAAAATGTAAATGTGGCCCATAGTTTGGGATTGGAAGCTGCAGGAAAGTGCAAGTGTTGGATTAACACTTGGCTGATTATCAGATTGAAATCGAACTCTTTTGCTCCTTAATGAAGGATTTTAACTCTTCTAATTGTGTTCTTCAGAGATGAAAGTAGCGGAAATCATCAGGAAACTTGCCCAGCAGTGGAGAATGATGAGCCCAGAGCAGAAAGAGGTATTTGACTCCACTGATTACATTTTACAGAACAGCTTGTGTGGAGGGCTAAATCATTGCAGAAACTTAAGTTCTTGTAACTATGGGTTTGCTGTGTGCTGGTGACCAAACATTGTGGATTTCTTTCTCTATTAAAGCCTTTTCGAAAGGCGTGTCTCCTGGGCATGGAGCAGTACAAATTGGACGTCCAGAAGTTCAAGGCCCAGCTGAGCCCAGCACAGCTGCAGGAGCTGGCCACCAAGAAAAAGATGAGGCTGAAGAAAAGGAAAGCCATCCAAAGGAAGCTAGTGAGTGTGGTCATGAAAACCTCCTATTTTTTTTTATTTTTTATTATTCCACATAGTGCTGGGCGATATGGAAAAAAATCATATATCACGATATGGACTTTTTTATATCACAATAATGATATATATCATGTTATACCACAATTAACTTAGTATGTTTTCAGTTATTCTTTKAAAAATATAACAAAATAATATCATTGCATACTTTTTCCAACTTTATTTCCAAGTGACATTAAATAAAACTTTCACAAATGAGAATTGCTGTTTTAGTGCAGCAATGTATCAAATAACAGATGAGCTAGAGGTACAGATACAGTAGCCTTCATATATTTTTTTCAAAATGATACAGGTATTTAAACTGAATAAGATAAAAAATAAACTCAATTTTTAATATTTTTTTAAAGTGCACATTTCAAGTTTCTGAACAGAAAAAAACAACACATTTTCACACAAAAACTTGTTATAAAAATAAACAAGTTTTCAAGTTTCTGAAATCTGTAAGCTTAAAGTGCAAAGTCTGCAAACCATACTAGCAGCAACATAAAGAATCCAAAATAAATATCAGGGTTGAGCGTAACTATGTTTAAGGCATAAACCATCAAAAAAGTGCAAACACAAAAGGCTACTTTGTAGAAGTAGAAATATAGTTTCTGTTAAGTTTATAAGTTGAGTGTGAGGAAGACAAGTTGGTCAACTGTATCTGGCTTAAGACATGACCTCTTACATGTGACAATGTTCCCGCTCGCACTGAAGGCCCGTTCAGATGAAGAACTAGTAGCAGGAACACATAAGTACTTCTTGGCAAGCCTTGCCATAAATGGGAAGTTCAGCTCGTGCTGCCTCCACCATTCAACAGGGTTAGTGTCAGAGTCAGGCTCAGATGTCTGAAGATACACGGAGAGCTCCAGTTCAATGGATGCTCTGCTTGGCTGAGCATGGGTGGTGCCTTGGCCTGCTGCTAATGACTTTTTGAAGTAGCTACCTAAACTCTTTGTTTTTTTTATTGTTGGACAAGGAAGCTCTGGATCATCTTCAGCAGCTGGTGGTGAAATGGAGGTGGCTGCTGTTTCTGCACTTACAGGTGGTGCTGGTGTCAAGATGTCCACGAGCTCTGCTGCAGCTCTCATCTTTATGAGCTCCACCCTCTCTTCCTTCATGTAGTCTGTCTTAAACCGCGGGTCAACAAGTGTCGCCATGTCTAGAAGGTTGTTGGTGGCATCATCATCATCRTACTTTTCATTGAGGTACTTAAGGATACCCTCTTTGATTGCTTTTGTGAGCTCTGTGTCCCCATCCTTCAGGCTGAGGAKTTCATTATTAAAGAGGTGCAGGACTGGTTTCAGAAAAGATACAGTGACGTACTTCTCTCAGGACAAAGCATCAATAAACTCGAACAGTGGACCCAGTGCCTTGTTCATGGACTCTAGCACCATCATGTCTCGCCAGCTTGGCACCAAACTTCTTGCCTGAGTGAGATAGCAAAGAAAACAGGTTACTTTCATTAGGAGGTGAATCTTGGCTGCAAACGTAATCAGAATCCACAATGAAAAGAATCAGTGTGTAATGTCTAGTGTCCATGTCTCACCTTCTTGTCTACAAGGAGGACCTGTGACAGCGCTTTCTCCTGCTCCAGGAACCTCTCGGTCATCTGCTGCCGTGAACCCCATCTTGTGGGGGTTTCAGTGATGAGCTGATGGGGAGGCAAGCCCAGCACTGCCTGAGCCTTGGCCAAGTCACGTTTTCTCTTCCAGGAGTTGGAGAAGGCACTCACCACCTTTTTACAGACCCCAACTGCACGCTCTACAGCCTGCTTTGTAGATGTTGGTGTGAGAGCTTTCAGAGCATTCTCTGTTTAGACAAAAACAAAAAAAGTCATATAATAACTTGTTTTGACGGCAGTTTTAATTTTATCATATATTATTTAAAGAATTTGTGGATTGATTTTTATAATTAAGTTTATAACACAACTAGATCTGCGGGGAGCTAGTATCACAATTTAGTCTTTGCCATAAGTAGTTATAAAATGAAGGTGAGTATAACTTGTTATACTAGGCTGATCAAATATAACACAGAATAACTAAACTAACTTTAATTCACTAATACTTTTGTTGTTGTTAGTATAATATCCTCATATTACACTAGGCCATTTTTAGATTGCTTTACACTTACCAATAGCTAGCTGTAGACGGTGACCAAAACATGCAGCCGTTCCCACTCATTCAGTTCCATTGCAGAAATGTTGTTAGTGGCATTATCTGTGGTGACACAGACTAGGTGGCATTCTTGCAGTCCCCATGACTCCAGTGTATCTCTCAGACTTAAATAGATAAATGTTTTATTAATTAGGGGTCTCAGAACAG